CCTTCATCTAGATTATCCAGAATCCTGAAAACCAACTGTAGCAAGTGCTGCCACCTAATAACTCCAGTGCAGTATATTATCTAAATAAACTCAGAACTTTCAAATAGAACTCTAATAAAAATTATATTATATTACAAAATACTACAATAGAATTTTCAAATATGTAAATAATCAATCTGTAAACTCTAAATCATCAACTGTAAATTTATATATTTTATTTTTTTGTTTTTTGTTTTTGCCACCACAATGTAGCAAAATTTCAAAATGTTTTTAAACACAATGTATATATGTCACGATGTATGGGATAGGGGCCGCTGCGCGGCCCAGGTGCCCAGTTCTTTTTAAATAAAGCGAAAGCGAAAGCGAAAGCGTGATAAATTTCCATACAGTGAATTGTTACTGTTGAGAATAGATTAACTCCTCCAGAATATTATCTAATATTGAAATAGTTCTTCTACCAGTATTTTCTCTTTTCCCGTACCAGTATTTTTACTTTTCCCGGCGTGAACGTGCTAAGAAGGATATCTTAGCTATTAACACTATCCTGTGATTTGGTAGAAATTTTTATTTAGCAAAATTAGGAGTCGAGCTCTTAGGAAATTCCTGAGTCGGACTCAGATTCAAACATTTCCACTACTGACGTCACTACAGACATAAAACAGAAAGACATACCTTGAAAAAATTAAGAAAACTGAGATATTTTATTTTATTTTATTTATCGCTTTTCCCGGTGATTTTACATTATTATATTAAACAAAGAACTTTTTTAGAAGGTTATCAAATCAAAATAAAAGTTAAGTTTGATTAATATTTAAGATTTGGTACGATGGAGTTGCTCAAAGATAACTCAGAGTAGTCAAAATTGTTAACTATTAAGCAATTTTTCAAGAAATCCTTCACCCTTTTGGTGCACAAGAAAAAAACTATTATCACAGAGCCTGCAGTATTGCCTGAAATAGTATAGTTGGTATCTAATAAAAACAGCCTATGTCACATTAGTACCAGTGAAAATAATTACCAAAATTAATTAAACATCATTGAAATCAATGATGCTACTGCACTATTGTACGGTTCCCCTACGCGACTCTGTATCTAACTTTGCTTTTTATTATACAGATTTTTCGATATTTCAATTACTGTTGCTTTTAAATTATTAAATCTTGTAGAATCACAATTATGACCAAAATAAACACGTGGTTTCAGAAAACTTTAGAAGTACTGATTCAGCTACCGATTCATACTGCCCATGTTGATTATTGAGCTTGTTAAAAGTATTTAAATATTTACGAGCATGCAATAAAATAAGGTTTTATTTATAACAATATGGTGTAATTTATATGGTTTTATTTATAAGAATTGCTAAAGTTAAATTTAGGCTATATATATATTTATATAGTTATAGTTAGTTTTAGGCTATATATAAAGCTAAAGTTATATATATATAAGTCATTATTTGTCTCCATAAAAGCATAAAAGAAGCTCTAGCCTTATTTTATGCAGATTCATTAGAAGATTCATTCAAGACAAAAGTAAAATTTTGAATGAATTTTTAGTTTTTTATTTTCTTAATGACTGTAATGATATAAAAATTAATTTAAATATGTCCAAATTACTTATTTTCATAAAGATTCTTCTACTTCTTTTTTAAACGAAATTTAATTGAGAAAATATTGAGAATTTAAAATTGATAAAAAATTAATGATACGGATTTAAAAGATGTATTTTTAATAAAATGCATTATTTTTTCTTAAGGAAAACACTAATAACTCTAAATATTAATAATTACGATTTCTGATTTTGTGTGTTCACCATCTTAATTACCCCAGAATTAAAACAAAAAAAATTCATATAAAATTAGAAAAATTCCGAAAATGAACTGATATTTTTAAAACAGTAACAATTAAAATTTTCTGACATAAAATACTCCGCTTAAAACATATCATTCTTCTCCTGATGTTTTCTAATTAGAGGGATTAAAAGAATTGAAATCTAATTAACTATTATAATTGCAATTGTTTTTTTTTTGATAATATCATATTTTTGTAACAAATCTTTATTTGAGCTTGCAAAAATTTCTAAAATAATATGATAAGGCTGCAATTTAGAAGGTCTAGCTGTCGCGTAAAACTTGTCGTGAAAACATGATTTCGTCAGGGAATTATGAACAGGGAAAATATGAGTTGGTCTGTTTCTGTGATGTTTTCTTTAGTTTCTCGCCCGCCACTGCCCAAAAGTTGTCAAGGCTAAGCGACCATTCTGCCACAGATCAAGTTACAAAAATCTCTAATTTTTGTATCTCACTTTAACCAAAAGAAGCGTCTATTATTAATTTTGACCGGTTCGAATTAATTATAACCGCTTCTTTGATATTGACCAAACTTCATTGGTTAATACAAATAATAAACGGTTAATGTGATAAATTCCTTAAAATAGTTCACTTTACTAAACTTCAATTTCTAATTTTTGTATCTCACTTTGACCAAAAGAAGCGTCCATTATTAATTTTGACCGGTTCGTATTAATAATAACTGCTTCTTTGACATAGACCAAATAATAACCGGATAATGTATTAAATTCGTAAAAATAATTCACTTTACTTCGAACATTGTACTAAATAATTAGAGAAATATCTTCTCAATTGAGACGGCACTAAGTCCGCTCTTCGTCTCTCTCTCTCTCAAGAATCATATATAGCCTCCTCTCTAAAAACACAGTTCTTCTACCCTTTCAACACCCGCTTGGAGTTCTAAGAGTTTTGGCTCCAGATGCAAGAGGGGAAAGAATTTGGGGGGCATTGTTCATGATGTTACAATATATATATATATATATATAAATANTCTGAAAAATATTATTCTAATTTTCATTCAAACGTTTTGAGTGCCCGTTGTGTAATGCTTTTTAAATTTTTGCTGAAAGTTAAGCGAAATTTTTTTTACTGTATATCTCAAGTTAATATTCACATGAAAGTAAGACCTTTTTTTTTCTTTTACCTCTTTAAATGTTAGAAAACCTGTGCCAGTCCTCCATGAATTTCTGTAAGTTTTATTACTTAATGTATTTATTATTTATTGAATTATCTCGCTTTCATGTTTGTAACAATGGTAACTTGCAATTGAAATTTCTACTATTTTCCAACTATATATACTTGCTTATTGATTCATGGACATTCATTTCAGTTTTTATTTATTTGCTAATTCGTAAATTTATTCATTTATTTCTTTCTTTTCTCGTTTATATTTACTAATTTTATTCCATTTGTTATTCGATCACTTACTGTAATGCGTGAATAACGATTTCTCATTGAATGATATAGTGACAAAATTTATCTTCTGCAAACTCAACCATCGTAGTACAGGGATACTTCATCCTTCGAAGAAACGGATACGACATTTTGCATTTTTCAAGTAATTAGGCGGATTAAAACAAGCCAACGAAATTTGAAAAACGAGAAAAAGGAAGATAGGAGCTTTGAGGAGAAGTTCAAAAAGGGTAGAAGCTTAGTAGAAAGGGTAAGGGGAGCTGAAGTTCGCCTTCCACTGATTGGCTGTTTTCGGAGAGAAGATTCTCTTTTGTTTACCTTACTAGCAGATTCAATAGAAGCAGCTTTGGTCAGGTAAGATAGAGAAAAAAAACATTATTGATTGACTTATTAGAATGAGCAGAAAGAAGTACATGTAATTTTACAAATTAATCTTTTTTTTTTATTTTTTGTTACAGAGCAATACGGTACATCAAATACTTCTTTAAGCTATGATTTCAATTTTTCTGGGAAACACTAGTTGATATAACTTTACACGTTCTACGTGAACAATCCAAGTTGAGGAATTTCAAGCTTTATCGAAATTATTCTTATGATTTTCGAAAATACGGAATAGTTGTATAATTGTAAATGTGTGATTTTGCGAATCCATAATAAACGAATTAGGAAAATATAATAAATTATTGCGTGATTACTTCCATTAAAATATTCGCTATTATTCGCTATATTTTTTTTTCTATATTTTGTCCTGCTAAATTATGACTCTAAAATTTTACTTAGAACATTTCTTGCATTATTTTATTGCGCTAACCGGTAACTGGTGCATTATTAAATTTGCGACGAAAAAAATAAAAAAATAAACTCACAATGAAAGCGTTCTGTGTTAATGCTTCATGTTCCCATATGTTTGAAGTCACCATGTTCAACCGAAGTTTGTCAAGAGCTTAGTTGGTCATTGGATGCTGGATATCGATTTGATAACGTCCAGGATAATCATATTGTAATCAATTATTCAGCAATCAATATAATAATTTTACTTTATAACCTTCGTTGAACAGCCAACCCAATTTAGGTTTTACGACTACTAATGTTGAATTCCGTAGCCTTGTAATTTTAATGCTAATCCAGAAGACAAGAGAACTTTTGGATCAAGTATTGGGAGAAATTTGCCTTCGTGGAGGACTTTTTGGTGGAACTAACCTGCATTTGCGTTGCATGGGGAGGGAAACTGCGAAAACCTCCGAAGGTTAGCATGACGACAAGGGGACTCTAACCCATGATCCATCTACGTTTTACGTCAGAACTGTGGTCGGTGCATACATTTAATTTAAAATTCAGTTTAAATTCTATTTTGAAAATGTCAGAATTCTTTCCTGTTCTGTCATATCACCACGAGACGTCCTACAATTTCATTTCATTTTTATGAATATTTCAGAAGTTTCTAATATAAATGAATTTTGTATGTTCCCAGCAAAAACATAAGTTCTGGCCATCTTCGAAATTACTGACGGTACTGATTGAAAAGTGACGGTGCAAATTACTGTCAGCTGGGTTGATTGCTGGGCCGCCCTATGAACTTTTGCCAACATTGTAGGAAGAGTTGGGCCTGTACTTCACAAACAGCCCCATCCCAACAGTCTGAATCTACCCAATGGGCCACCCAGTTAAAGTTGTCTGCTGCCGCCAGTGACGCGGTCGAGCGAGTAACTGTAACTGTGTATTTTTTGTTTAGAAGAAGAAACACGATGCACGTTTGAAAGCGCTAGTTCATGATATTTAACTTGTCTTAAAGATTCTTATAATTTTCAAAAAAGGTAAGGTTTTATTCTTTTCTATTACATTGAAGTTATTATTTTAATCATTTTTGATTTACTATTGTTCAAATATGTTTACGACGTGCAGATTTCGGTTTACAAGGAACCACGTTTGAAGTGCTGTTTTAGCATTTTGTTTTAGATAGGCAATCATCTTTATTCAATTAATACATCATAATTAACACCTTTCTAAGATAGAATAATAAAAAATATTAAATTTAATTCAATGAAAAGCTACAGACAAATGTTTTATCAACACCAAGATCGCCGCCAAATGTTTGGCGACAATCGAGCAGTAGCACGCCAAAAACAAATATAAATTCTGTTGTATGATGACTCTTTAAGTGCAATTCATAATATGTTGTAGCATATGATATAAATCATGTTTATCTAAGTATATTATGAAAATAGGTTTGTATAATAATCAAGAATTTTCATTAAAACTTATTTCTTTATGTTAAATAATATTTAGATTTTAGTTAACTAATTGCTGTTAGTAATATTAAAAATGTTTTCTGTTATATGTATATCATTTTAAAGAAATTTTTGAGCTAAATTCAAGTGTAAAAATAGGTAAAGGTCTAATAATTTATACTAAATAGTTTAAATTAAGATGAAAAAGTTATTTGTACATGTTAATATAAATAATAACGAAGAATCGTGCTGTGAATTGTTAAACAGCCTAAAAAAATATAGATTATGAAAAGTTTTTTAGCACGCAGTTGCTAATATTTAATTGTGTATTGGCTAACCCCACTTACACAAGAAAAAAAATATTACAAAATTCTTTTATATTTTGAAATCAATGTTAAGTTACTTTATTTTTTTTGTTAAGCGATAAGTGAATAATGTTTTTATTGTGAATTTCAAGTTAATAATCATGTAAAAAAATGCCCGATTTTTATAGGGATTACAAAAATATATAAAAGTTCAATACAATATGAAAACAAAATTAATAATCATTAAAAATAACAAACAACGCTTTTTCTATTGGCTTTAAAAATGTTAGAAAACCTGTGACAGCTCTCCATGAATTTCTATAAGTTTTCTTATTACCTACTGTGTTTATTATTATTAATTTAATGAACTCGCTTTCGTATTGGTAACGTGCGATCAAAATTTCTACTTTTCGACTAGTTAGAGTACTAAAATCTACAGGAGCTCTGTGCTTGTTGACAATTTAAATTACAATCATTTCCTGACCGCTATAGACAGAATACAATACCATTTTATTGACAAGTACAACTTCCTAAAAGGATGTTTGACCACTTTCGAAGTAGCCGAGGTGCTTCAAATTTAACTTGCATTCTATTGAGAAAACAAGTTGTAACTGCTTCCGAATCACTAAAAGCTAAATTTATAATAATTTTTTGCAGAGAATCTTTCAGTGAAAATAAAAGTTTTTCAATTAACTCCTTGAAAGATTTTCAGTCCTAACCTTATATTTTATGATCCTAGAGCCGAACTTAGAAAATTTTGTTGTTTTATTGCTGACAATTCTGTTAAGAAAATTTCCTGACCTACAAGTTATTTTTCTCATTCTAATTTCTAAAAAATATTATTCTAATTTTCATTCAAACGTTTTGGGTGCCCGTTGTGTAATGCTTTTTAAATTTTTGCTGAAAGTTAAGCGAATTTTTTTTTTTACTGCATATCTCAAGTTAATATTCACATGAAAGTAAGACCTTTTTTTTTCTTTTACCTCTTTAAATGTTAGAAAACCTGTGCCAGTCCTCCATGAATTTCTGTAAGTTTTATTGCTTAATGTGTTTATTATTTATTAAATTTGTAACAAGTTTGTAACATGTTTGTAACAATGGTAACTTGCAATTGAAATTTCTACTATTTTCCAACTGAGTGAAGTACTACGTCTCTGTTCTCATCAACTTCACTTTTCAAGTAGCTGAAGTGCTCCAAATTCAACTCTTATTCCATTGACAACTTACATCTTATCACTTAAAGGAATTTTTTTTTTCTTAAACTAAATATCAAATCCTTATATTGAGTTTTGTATAAAAGTGCTAGACTAATATAATTATTAATAATAGATTATCAGACACAATATGCTTTAATATTAGATTCCATTGAACACTTATTTAAACGTAAATTTACGAGTAGTTTGAAACACAGCTTAACGAAAAAATCTAGCCGCTTTATTTTATTGATAATTTTCTTATTTTATTTTCATAATCTGTTTTGGCTTGAGCAAAATAGTTGTTGTTTGCCTGTCAGTCTGACCACAGCAAAGTGAGGGCTTAAACGCTCATATTTTAAATTATTGTACTAGGAGGTGAACCATATGGAAACGACAAAAATTTGATTATAATCAATTTGAAAAGTTTTCTTCAAAATAAATTAAATTTTAAAAATGGCTTTTATGTGAAACTGTTTTATTTTAAATAAATTAAATTGAGAAAAGCAACTATTACCAACCAATTCCGCTGATACAAATTTTTAAATTTATTAATAGTTAAAATGATTTATCAATTAACTTTTTTTTTTTTTCATCATCTGCAGAATCTTTGATGTGCATAAATAATTTAATATTATTTTGAGAAGTAATATTTTAATTATTATTATTTGAATTATGATTTTAAAGAAGGATTAAGGACATTTTAATGTATTAAGCGAATTCATTTATAAAGTACAGTGAATTCTCACTTATGCACCAGTCTTTGGGACCAAGAGAAAAAGCGTATAAGATTTAAAAAACAGTAAGTTCATGCAAATAAGAAAAGCTTCAGATTCAGCAAAAGCTAAATTTACAATAATTTTTTGCCGAGAATCTATTAGTGGGAATAAAAAAATAAATTTCAATTAACTCTTAGGAAGATTTTCAATGCTAACCTTATATTTTGTGTTTTTTTTTATTGTTGACAATTCTGTTAATAAAATTTCCTGGTCGAAAAGTTATTTTTCTCATTCTAAATTTCCTGGCCTACAAGTTATTTTTCTCATTCTAATTTCTAAAAAATATTTTAATTTTTATTTAATCTTTCTGGGTGTCCATTGGGTAATACTTTTTAAATTTCTGCTAAGAGTTTACCGTAAAATATTTTTACTGTATACAAGGTAATATTTACATAAAAATATGACCTTTTTTTTTCCTTTTAGCTTTTCAACCTGTGCCAGTCCACCATGAATTTCTGTAAGTTTTTTTACTTTTATCATATGCAGAATCCTGGTTGTACATAAATAATTTAATATTACTTTGAGAAGTAGTATTTTAATTATTATTACTTGAATTATGATTTTAAAGAAGAATTAGGGACATTTTAATGTATTAAGCAAATTTATTTATAAAGTACGGTGAATTCTCCCTTATGCACCAGTTTTTGGGACCAAGAGAAAAAGTGTATAAGATTTTAAAAACAGTAAGTTCATGCAAATAAGAAAAGCTTCAGATTCAGCGAAAGCTAAATTTACAATAATTTTTTGTGGAGGATCTTTTAGTGGAAGTAGAAAATTAAATTTCAATTAACTCTTTGGAAGATTTTAAACGCTGACCTTATATTTTGTGATCCTAGAGTCGAACTTATAAAATTTTGTTGTTTTATTGTAGACGATTCTGTTAATAAAATTTCCTAGCCTACAAGTTATTTTTCTCATTCAAATTTCTAAAAAAATATTATTCTAATTTTTACTTAATCTTTCTGGGTGTCCGTTGTATAATGTTTTTTAAATTTCTGCTAAAAGTTTACTGAAAAAATTTTTTACTGTATATCTCAAGTTAATATTTACATAAAAATAAGACCCNAGACCTTTTTTTTTTTTTTTTAGCTCTTCAAATGTTGGTAAACCTGTACCAGTCCACCATGAATTTCTGCAAATTTTATTACTTTTATCATCTGCAGAATCTTTGATGCGCATAAATAATTTATTATTTTGAGAAGTATTATTTAAATTATTATTATTTGAATTATGATTTTAAAGAAGGATTAGGGACATTTTACAGTATTAAGCGCATTCATTTATAAAATACAGTGAATTCACATTATGCTTCAGTCTTTGGGACCAAGAGAAAAAGTCCATAAGATTTTAAAAACAGTAAGTTCAAACAAATAAGAAAAGTTTCAATAGCTGAATAAAACTACAAATAGTCGTGAATAGCGGCTAAACCTTCTAATTGTTTTTAATGATTTCGAGTAATGTTTTTATCATCTGTGTTTTCGCTGAAACTGAGTAATAGTAATCGCTATAGCTTTACATTCCTTGACCAAAAACTAACGTTTTAATTGGTGGTAGGAAAGAAACTGCTAGATAAATTTTGAAAGCATATGGGTGGTATATATGGTGGTTTCAATGTGGGTGGTGTGATAGATAAGACACCTTATTCCAATTCATATATAAAAATGCTTTCCTAGAAACAATAAAGGTGAAAAAAAATCCCATAGGGAAGCAAAATGAACTGTATTACTAGATCCAGTAACTTATTTCCTTTTATCTGTAACGAAGATTGTTTATTTGCTTTAATCTGAAAACTTTTTCTAAAAAATGTGATTATTTTTTTCTATTTAAACAAAAAATAAAATCAAAATTTTAGTCTTTTAAAAAATATTGTGTGCTGAATTGAAATATTTATTTTCTCAATGATGCATAAAGAATTATAATTATCATTATTTTCCTATATAATGATCAAGGGCCTTTGAAAACCTTTGTATATATGCAAAAGGCACATAAAAGAGGTGGCGCAGAAGTGATAGGTCACTGTATGTAGTTTTTTATTTTAGTAATGGTTATTAATTTTCATTTTAATCGTTCACTTCCCTATTCAATGGAAAAAAAGCGTTATATTTATAAGTTTTATTGATGTATATAAAATATTTTTTTTTTAAATTTTATTAAGTACAGTAAGATTTTGATTGTGAAAACACAATCATATTTAAAAACCTACCTTGTTAACATAGCTTTAAAACGTGTAGGTTAAAGAGAGAGAAAAAAGTAACGACAAAGTACTGATTTGAAGCATCTTGAAACTAACCTATACAATATTGAATGCCTTCTAAGACATTATTTGAACAATTTTTTGCGATAAGAACAATTTTTTAGTCCAAGCAAATAAAATGCCCCGTAAAAGTTAAAAAATTCTTAATAAAATGTGTAAGTAAATTTAATTTATGGTAACTAAGAAATAATGTTAATAACACCTACATTTCACTTATTTATCTATTCTTAAATAGTAGAAAATATTTTTATTTGGCAAAAATATATACCTACCTTTTTAAAAAGAAAAAAGTTTTCTTGAAACAAAAGTTTAAAATGTAAACACTTTAGGAATCTCTAAACTATCATTTAAGTGCGACAGAAGCAAAAAGGTTATAGAAATCTTACGATTTTCTTATGAGTTAAACGAGATGAAAAACATCAGAACCAGTTTAATTGCATATTGAAATGTTGAAGTTTTTAAAGATTCTTTTTTAACTTTCCGTCCTATAAACGGGTTGTGGTTGTGTGACGTTGGCGACGCTGCTTCACCACAGGTGTCCACTGGGTAACGAGAAGAGAGTAGTAGTTCTGTCATTCCTGTGGCCAATGGGACTACCCCCCAATACCCGCCATTTAAAAAAAAAGAAAAAAGTCTATAATAAGGAAACGTCCATTGTAACGCACCTGTCCTTTGGCAATCAAACAGGTTTAAATGTTTTCAGTCTAATTTTTCTCTGAATTATTCATTAGATTTAAATAAGTTTTGTTTCTTTTTATTTGTGGCCCATAATGTGTGTATCCTATTACAGAGTTTATTTGCTAGAATTCGAAAAGTATATGTTGAAAGTGGTTAATGTGCAACTCCTGCTATTCTAATCTACAGAAAATGACAACTAATTTTTCTGTATCAAATAAAAATGCAGTGTACCTCCTCGAGAAGGGCCAACCGTCCTCACTGCCCTTTGACGACACTGTCTGATAATATTCCTTTTAAAAAATTTAATGTGTAAATGATGATTACACACTTTTAAAATTATTCGTGTTAATAAGTTTGATTCAGATACCATTACAAATATTTACTTTGTTAATTCTCAACTGGTTAAATTTTTAAAAGATTTTTTTAGTATCAATAAGTTTATTAAAAGATTTTTAAAAAAAATTTGAAATGAATATTTTTTTTTAAAAATGTACCTTTTAATATTTATTTTTAGTTAATAGTTTAAATTATGAAGAAAGCCTTCAAGTTTAACAATATTTTTTTCTATTGCACATTGTTTTCTATTGCACAATGATTTTCAATTAGCATGTTTCTTTTTCTTTGTAAGCTACAAATTTTTCTCATTTTGATAATGGGTGAGAACTACTTTTTGAAATATACATGTAAAATAGTAGGTATAGGATGGTAATTTTACAGTCATTAAGAATCGAATTCAGCTATTACATAATAGTACATTTTGTTAAATATTTACGGTGTTAATTAAAAGACATTTAAAAACTCGGTGTACCCTTATTTTTGAGGACGCACCTTTCCCTTTTTTATTCCTAGGCATAGTAATGGAGTATTTAACAAATATTTTTTGTTAAAAGAAGAAACTAAATTAATAAAAAAATTTGAAGAAAAGAAATTTCATCAGAGATGTAAACAATGTTATTAATATTTATGTAAACTTTTCATTTTTTGTCTTACATCTATACCTGTTATATGAAGACATTTTGGAAATCGTGACATTGGTCAAATCTGTCGTTATTCTAATCTAGTTCTTGTGTTTTTTATATAAGGAAAACATTAATTTCACAAAGCATCACCATTAAAGTAATTTAAGAATTTATTGATTTATAAAGTTATTACAGAATTGTAAAATTATCTGCCTTTTTAACTAGCAAATTTTGAGCAACCTTTTTTCATATGGTTTCAATTCTGGTTTCAATTCAATACATATTATTGTTTTGATGCCTATTTTAACATGAAAAATTTTGTAAATTTTGAAATTTTTATTGTCAAATTTTTTTTAAATAATAAAGTAAAGCGAAAAAGAAGTACTATTGATACATTCGTGCATGTAAGTAATATATATTTAAAAGTAACTTTTCTTCTATACCTTTCCTTGAAACAATAATTTACATTAGAATATCATAATTGTTTAAAATATTAAATGCAATAAAATTGAGCACCATAAAATTAATAAAGAAGAAAAAACTGCATGTTTTTTAAAATTAAATATTTTCTGAGAAAGGTGAGCACAAAATGAAAAAGTGATCACCCTGAATAACTTTTCATTTAACAGTCAGATTTTCATGTACTAGGTGTCAATCTTAATGGGTTTGTGAGTCAATATTCAATAATTTCATTCAGAAAGGAATTTATGTTCAAAATCTTTCCAAATTAAAAGACAGGTGTATGTTTGCATGGTGTTACAATATGTATTTGATGAGTCAAAATTTATCAATGAAATGATAAAAGCAAAAACTTTTCGATAGAAATTTTAGTTTTAAAAGCTCATTTTCACAAAAATACTTATGTTTTAAAATATATGATTTGCATAATTTTTATTTTATTATCCTCTCTTTCAGGATTTCGAAAAATGTCAAGCATTTTTTGTTGCAGTTTTACAGAACTCTTCTGTGCTATTCCAAGTGATTCTATGTAGACAAAGATATGATTTCTCTGTTGTTTTTATTATTTTTAAAATTAAATTTAAATTTGTGTAATATTTGTATTGATTAAGGTTATGTCTTTGTATTTATATGTCTTTGTATAATAAAATGTTTGCAAGAGACAATGTTGATTATGAATTTAACTAATTTCAGGGTACATTCAATTCATTACATGACTGACTACATTAGTACATTTTTGTCCAATACACCTATTTTTTGTTAAATTTGCTGCAAGACTAAATATAATCAGTAAAACATGAATTCATGATCAATATCGCACTAAATGATCATCTCTGGACAACCTCTTAATATTATCGGCTGTTGGTTGTATTTATTTTTGTATAGGGTACAATAGTATCACTAGATTCCTTAAGAACACAGCTTTTATTTTAAAATATATATATACTGACTACAAGTTATTATATACATATATATTGACTTCAAGTTAAAACTTGAAAAATTACTTGTGAGATACAGAATTTTCATAATTCTGGACAGCAGTTTTATTATTCTGCTTTTAAGTAGAATATCACTGTAAAGAAAAAATTATTACGTATGTTTACCTAGTTTAAAAATGTATTGATAAGTGGTGTGCACAGCAAATCTTTAGGACTAAGGGGTTGAACTGTGTAAAAAATATTCTTTGCATAAAACAATTTAAATGAAAAAAATAACCTAGAAATATTTTCTTAGTTCATATATTAATAATTTATTCAGAAATGTATTAGATAGCTTGATATTTATTTAGCTAATTGAATTAAATAAAAATTAGATTTGTGGGTTTTAATTACTCCTGTAACTAGGTCAATGACCTCTCGTAAACCTCTATAAACTAAAGGGATGCTGCTGGGTGTATATAAATTGCAGGCCCTCAATTATTGATTCATTGATTACCCTCTACTGGAAAATGTCGGGCAATCACTCACCCAGCGCGTTTTAGACAGTAATTGCAGGGTTAAGTTCTACCGGCCATCGATAGGCCGATATTGTTGGCTCGACAGGAGGCCAGCCATTCACTTTAGTACAGTTGAAAGTGACTTATGCCGGCACAGACCCGTCGCTTTAGCTGGTGGCAAACAGCAGTTTTGTGGAGCTGGACCTACAGATTTGTTTTTGCTGGGTTTAAATCAGACTAAAATAAAAACATGCCATGTATCTTTTACATTTTTTCAAATATGTCAATCATACTGTTTATTCACTCAGCACTTAAATTTTTTAATCACTCAACACACTTTGCTTCTTTCA